GTGCAGAGTTTTTGTGGTCCATAATTCTAAAATCTTAGCTGTGATGGATTGAGAGAGTATTGGGGACTCATTTACGCTTTTTTAAAAGTTTTAGGGGTAGGGTTGCAATTTATTCTGAATTTTTCTCTCTCTTTTTTGTTTTAAATAAGAGGGTATAATTGTCATTTTACATTCGAAAACAGTGAAAAGAACCTTCAGCGCAACAAAAATTGAAATAAGGGCAAAAATGTCAAAAAATGAAAGGTAGGGACGTTTTCCACAATAAGCTTTAAAAGTAGGGACATTTTGTGCCAATTACCCTTCAATTAATCATGATTTTGCATAATGGTGCCTAACATTTTGCCTTCTTGTGATTTTGGTCCCTAACCTTTTATTTTCGGCAGAGACATCCCAAACATATCCCTTTAGGTGCTCAAATGGTAATTTTGAATATTTTTCATCCATTTGATGGTTAAAAAGTAAAGTCCCAACTTTTTTATTCTTAAATTGGTTGATGTAGCCTATTTAAAAACAAGCAATGGAATCTCAGTCCATTTAAGATTATGAAAGACCAAACCATAGTTAATTAAAAGCCTAATAATTCATGAGATTAAGCTTAAGTAAAATTGATTACAAAAATTTAATGAATAATTCAGTTGCCACAATGGTTATCTACATGGTATTTCATATGGGCAATCTAGGTTCGAATCACCATGTAGATAAATTTATAAAAATATTTTTACAAATTTATTTTTCTGTTAAAAACTCCTGAATTTGCACATTAAGAACAATTATATCAAGTTTATTAGATGAAATAATTATTTGATTATTGGACATTCATAAACATAGGTTACAAAATATATGAATGGTTCATTTTCCTTTATTTTCATAATGTAAATGTTTCATAAAATTTTTTATATGAATTATTTTTTATGGCTTAAAGCTTTTTAAGAAGTTGAAGACCCAATTTAACAAATTTAATGATAATACAACTCTCCTATTTTGTTTTTCATTGAAAATGAAGGTTACAAGAAGAGGAAAGTCACTTTTTTCACTACACCTCTACTCAAATTTGGATTTAGTCTTATTTTCTCTCAGAAATGTATTTTATGTCAAGTTAAGTTTAAGAGAACAGCAAGGGTGGGAAGAAGAAAAGGCTTATTACACATTTTGTTCTTTATATCCAAGAAAATCAAGGTAGGTAGAGGTACATGTGTTATTTCGCTTCTAAATTATGATTTTTTTATTGAAAGTTTGAATAAAATTGTACCCTCGGGTATGGTGTTTCGGCACTACTGTAGTTTGAATAATCATTCTTCGACTCTACGTATTATGATAATGCTATAAAAATTGGATTTTGTCGAAAATTCATCTAAGTGCGACAATATGAATACAGAAGTATCTAATTTGATAATGAAAAGTAGCGATGATATCTGTTGAGTTTCAAACTCATGGGTTAGGTACCATCCTACAAGTTGATTTGATTTGCTTGGGGCGTAGATCATCGGTAGATGAAGGTATAACATGCCATGGAGAAGCTAATGATTTAGCCCCCGTTTGGCTCCCATTAAATTACATTCTATTTTTCTCTCCTATTTTTAACCACACAATCTTCCATAAAATAATACTACACGTAAATCGAAAATTTTTCCTTCTTTTTCAACCTCTCATTTTTCAAAAAAAACACTATCCCTCTCATTTTCATTACCGAAAAATTGGGGTCAAATAGGGGCTTAATGTCTTTAATTCGATTATGAAATATTTACATTTTCTTTTAAATAGAATTTTGTGGACATCGATGTGGAACTATACTACGAACATTTTTTTAGGAATAAATTGTGTTTAAAATTAAGTAGTGTGTCCTAGAAATTAATTTACGAAACACCTTTTACAAGAAAAGAAGTGTTAGTGATTTAATGTTACTGTTTCTTTAAAATTTCAGCTTCTAACTTAATCGCTACTTTTGGAGAAAAGAGGTCAACTTGTTGAAGATTTGAGGTATTAGGAAAAGAGCAATGAAGAAAATAAGTCTTGATGTGAGAAATTGGAAATCGGGGGCCCAACTGTCACTTTTGGAAAAAAAGGGACCACCGACGACATGATGGTGATAAGAACTTCATGGGAGGCAATTCATTTGAACCATGTGGTCGCATGGTTATGCCTCGGTGAAGTTTCCTATTCTGCTGCAAACTCTTATGGAAAGAAGTTGTATGACAAATATAAAAACCTTAGAGCCATCATATTTCGTGAAGAACAATTGGGAGACAAAATAATACATCTTCAAGGCGATTTTGCACCACAATAACGAAAAGAAACACGAAGATCAACTGGATTACATGCAAATTCTTACACCGGTGATGTCGTTTTCTCAAAGCATTTGTGTATTTAGTTGATTTCTCCATGCTAGGCTAGGTTTCATGTACTAGGAGATCGATAAACCTTGTGATGTAAATTTTTAATTTCTAGTTTTGTAATTTTGACATCAAAACACGTTCTTGAATTTTGAATGATTTATATACAATTAATTGCTTCCATGATTATGTACACGTGAGTGTGTGAGTATAGTGACTTATTTCATGCATTCGAGAGAAGGGGAATAAGTTTGACACCTATAAATTATCATAGGGATAGGGGATAGAGATATGCCGCTGGTGGTATATGAAAATAGGTTCAACTTTACTCAACAAAGACTATTGGATAGATATAGGGGCATTGATTCTTCAAAAATTTAACATGTTGTCAATTTGCGGAACTAAGGTTAAAAGCGAGCATTGCTTGAGGATTCACGATTATAGTGCGCTTCATATTCATTGATTACATCAAAATTGCATTCAAACATCCATTTTGCATTCTAGTTCATTTGACTCGTACACAATCGCATATTAGGTTAAGTTCAGGTTAATTTAAGTTACTACAAATTTTGTTTGAAAATTCAGGTCCAGTTAAGGTCAAGTTAGATAAAATTAAACTACTCAATCTTTGTAGGATGACATTCGAACTCAATTTTCCACTTTATTACTTGTTACGGTTCGCACACTTGCGGATACAATTCAAAATCATTATTTCGTGAACAAGTTTTTGGCACTATTGCTGGGGATCGAGTACTAGTTTAGCCCTCGTTTGGCTCCTTTAAAACTCATCAGTTTAATTTAATTTTTTCTCTTATTTTAAACTACACAATTTTTAATAAAATAATATTTCATGTAAATCGAAAAATTTTCATTCTTTTACAACAATCCATTTTTCAAAAAAACACTATTTCCCCCATTATAAATCCAAATAATGGGGGCTTAATCTTTGTATTGTTTTTTCTATTTTATTTTGCTTTTCAATTTATTTTAGTATCTAAGCGCTAATACTTGTACTCTGGCAGATTTACATGCTAAGATCAACTAGAGGAGACCTGATTCCATTTGATCCAGAAATTGAGCACACTTTTCATTGACTGCAAATAAAAAGTAGAGAAGCACAACAACAACAAATAGCTAATGAGCTGAATAATCCTATCATTCCAACCAATGAAGAAGAGGCTATACTCTTAGCAACATGCTTGTAGGCGATTTCATAACTCCTCAAATAATCCAAAGCCAATCCAACATCGTGTATCCACGGTTTGGGCAGCCTAACTTCCAATTGAAGAACAATGTGAAATAATTATTTCAGAATGGACATCAGTTTTATGGCAGAATTGAAGAAAACCACACACGCGTGTCCCTCAATTCTTGGAGATGTGCCAACACTTCAAATATCAGGAGATCTCAGACGAAGCTATCAGATTAGGTTGTTCCCATATACATTGCATGACAGAGCAATTGAATGGCTGGATTCTCAACCAATAACCAACATCACTACATGACACGATCAAGCACAAAAGTTCTACACCAAATTTTTCCCGCCCACTAAGATTGCAAAGTTGAAACATGACACATCTATTTTCCATCAAGGTGACTATGAGAACTTTGAAGAAGCCTAGAATAGGTTTAAAAACATGTTGCAGAAGTGTCCACATTACGAGATCAGCAAGGAAATCCAGGTCCAATATTTTTATGTTGAATCACTTCCAGCCTTTAAAAGCATAGTTTTCATCCAACAGGTCACAGTCCACAAAAACTATTGACAAGGTATTCGAGACTACATTAGCTATGTGGACATCAAAACGAGCAATTCAGAAAAGGACACTAGGAATGTATAAGTAGATGCATATTCTGCCCTATCTACGAAGATTGACTCTCGGTTCCATAAAGTAGAGAGCATGTCACAATCAGCAAATGCGGCATAGATTAAGAAGATCAGTTGTGAGGAATTTGGAGCTGAATATTAAACAGCAGAGTGCCCAATCTTAGCACAGCGAATGGAGCAAATAGATTTTGCTTAATGGGGACGCCAACAGAGCAACTCATTTGGAGAAACATACAATCTGAGTTGGAAAAATCACCCTAACTTCTCTTGAAGCAACAAAAATTAAAATAGGCTACAAGTTCAGTTCCAATAGCAAAAGAAAAAGCCTCAACTAGAAGAGATATTGGGAAAGTTTAAGGAAAATACCAATTAATAAATAGAGGCTAACAATCAATTCATGAGGAAAGTTGAAGCTACTCTTCAAGATCAAAATGCCACCATAAAAAATGTGGAGACTCAAATGGGATAGATGGCAGTTTCTTTGACTGGCAGTGCACCAGGTAGTTAGCCAAGCAATACAAAAGTAAGCCAGAGGACCCTTACAACTAGAAATGGGATGCAACTACCTGAAATACACGTTTAGAGGCTGAGTGTAAATAAAGAGAACACTTCCTGAAGAAGAAGAGATTGTGGAGCATGATAGATAGATAAAGAAATCTACCCTAAAGGAAGGTTCAGAGGCGTCACGAGTTAAGGCAATAGTTCTAGGCAACCTTTACCAGCCTCCCATCTCATTTCCCCAGAGGTTGAAGAAGCAGAAGATGGAGCAACACTATAAAAAATTTCTCGAAATTTTCAAAAAACTCTACATAAACATCCCGTTCGTCGATGCACTAGTCTAGATGCCTAGCCACGCCATGCTCCTGAAGGACATCTTACCAAATAAACATAAGTGTGAGGAACATGAGACTGTGATGTTGATTGAAGAATGCAGTGCGAGAATTCAGAAAATGCTCCCATCGAAATTGAAAGATGTAGGGAGTTTCATTGTCTCTTGCACTATTGATGAAGACTATTTTGATAACGCTTTATGTGACCTTGGTGCAAGTATTAATTTATTGTCTCGGTTTGTTTTCAGAAAACTTGGATTGGGAGAGGCCAAGGTGACTACTGTGATGCTACAATTAACTAATAGGTCTTTAACACGTCAGAGAGGAATAATAGAAGTTGTGCTAATCAAAGTGGATAAATTCATATTCCCTGCTGATTTTCTCATTTTGGATATGGAAGAAGATAAGGATATTCCATTGACATTGGGCAAACCATTCTTGGCCACCGGCAGAACTTTAATTGATGTTCAGAAAGGGCAGTTGATTCTGAGGCTTGGAGAAGAGGAGATATCTTTTAATGTCTTGAAAGCTATGAAGTTACCAACAGAGTCAAATAGCTATTTCCAAATTGACATAATTGAAAATGTGGTTCAAGACACATTCCTACTTCACAATCAATCTTATGCTTACGAGTCTGGCATTGTACACCCTTAATCAACACATTCAAGTTCTCTAGAGATTGAGACATGTGCAAGGTTTTTGGAGACCAAACCACCGTATACACCCAAAAGGCACTTTGAGGAGCTTGGAATAGGACCTACAAAGCCACTACTATCCATTCAGCAATCGCCAACATTGGAACCCAAGCAGTTGCCACCACATCTCAGATATACCTACTTAGGAGGGTCATGTATACACCCGATCATTATCTTGAACATAGTTAGCAAGGAAGAGAAATTGGTTTGAGTACTCAGGGAAAACAGAGCAGCTATTAGATGAACTATAGTAGATATCAAAGGGACATCCCTTCACTGTGTATGAATAAGATTCTCATTGAGGAGAATTTTACCCAAGTATAAAGAGTCAAAGGAGGTTGAATCCAAATATGAAAGAAGTTATCTGGGCATAGGAGAGGTACTCAAGCTTCTAGTGCAGGCATCCTATATCCTATATTAGACAATGCATGTATCAGCTCAATTTATGTTGTGCCAAAGAAAGGGAGAATCAAGATAGTGCCGAACAAGAAAAATGAGTTAATTCCAAACAGAACAGTGACAGGATGGAGAGTTTGCATCTACTATCGCAAACTCAATGCAGCTCCACAGAAAGACCATATTCCTCTCCCCTTTATCGATCATATGCTGAAGAGATTGGTAAGCCACTCACACTATTGCTTCCTCGATGGGTATTCGGGTTACAACCAGTTACCAATAGCCCCAAATGACCAGGAAAAGATCACATTCACTTATCCCTACGGTACATTTGCATACTGTAGGATAGCATTTGACCTTTGTAACACTTCTACCACATTTCAGAGGTGTATGATGGCAATATTCTCAGATACGGTTGGAAAGTTCATAGAGGTGTTCATAGATGACTTCTCAGTCTTTGGGTCTTCATTTGATGGGTGCTTAAAACACCTTAACTTGGTCTTACAGAGATGCAAGGAAATGAACTTGGTATTAAATTGGGAGAAATACCACTTCATGGTATAGAAGGGGATTGTACTAGGACACATGTATCAGCAAAGGGAATTGAAATGGACAGTGAAAAGTTACCGCCACCCACATTAGTCAAGGGTGTTTGCAACTTTTTGGGACATTCCGGACTTCACAGACAATTCATTAAGGACTTCTCAAAGATTACGAAGCCATTGTGCAACTTATTGACAAAGAATGTACCATTTGGGTTCATTGACGAATGCCTGGCACTAAACTATGATCATGTCGTGGGGGCCATATAGGGATAGCAAAAAGACAAAGTCTCCTATGTAAACTACTACACAAGCAAAACCCTAAAGGATGCACAACTTAATTATGCAACTACAGAGAATGAGCTCTTGGCTGTGGTTTACACGTTTGATAAATTCAGGTCATATCTTGTTGGGTCAGAAGTCATACTATACACAAATCATGCCACATTGAAGTATTTGATAACAAAGAATGATGCTAAATCGAGATTGATCCATTGGGTTTTATTGCTAGAAGAGTTTGACATGAAAATCGAGGATAAAAGGGGCAGTTAGAATGTCGTTGCAGATCATCTGTCTCGATTGGAGCCTAGAGAACCTGAAGAGTCAGTAGACATCAACGAGATCATCCCGAACGAGCAGATATTCAGTGTGGAAGGAGCACCGTAATGTGCAGATATTGAAGCTACTTGGCCAAATCCATCCCTCCACCGGATTACTCAAGTCTCCAGAGGAAGAAGTTCTTTGTAGAATTAAAATACAACTTCTGGGGGGACCCTATTCTCTATAGGCAAGGGGCAAATCAGATCATTCGACGATGTGTGCCCGAAGAAGAAGTGCCTCAAATTCTGAAACATTGCCATATATCTACATATGAGGGGCACTTTGGAGCTTCAAAGATAGCAACCAAAATTTTACTGTCGGGGTTCTACTGGTCTATATTGTTTAGGGATGCCTTCAAATTTGGAAAAAGGTGTGATAGATGTCAACGCACTAAGAATATCTCAAGGGAAAATGAACTGCCTCTAAACAGTATTTTGGAGATGGAGATATTCGATATTTGGGTAATCGACTATATGGGGCCTTTTCCCCCATTGTTCTCCAACCAATACATTCTGGTGGTAGTTAATTATGTATCCAAGTGGGTGGAAGCAGTTGTATTACCAACCAATTATGCTAAGGTGGCAATTGGATTCCTAAAGAAATACATCTTCACCCGCTATGGCACAACATAAGCTATAATCATTGATGGGGAAAAACATTTTTGTAATCATTAGTTTGAGCAACTATTGAGTAAAAATGGCTTCAAGCACCATGTAGCTACCCCCGCATCATCCTCAAATCAGCGGGTAAGTCGAAGTCTCCAATTGGCAGTTGAAGAGGATACTTGAGATCACAGTAAGTTCTTCGAGGAAAGATTGGTCTAAGAAGTTGGACAATGCATTGTGGGCTTATAAAATAGCACTCAAGACACCCATAGGCATGTCTCTATCATTTGCCACTTGAGTTAGAGCACCGTGCATATTAGACAATGAAAGAGTAGAACATAGATTTGAAGACAGCCAATGAAAAGTGTCTGCAACAATTTAATGAGTTGGATGAGTTCAGGATGGAAGCATTTGAGAATTCAAAACACTACATGGAATGCACCAAGAAGTGGCATGATTTGCATTTAGAGACAAGAGTTTGAAGTACGACAAAGTGTTTTAATTCTAGGCTCAAGCTCTTCCTGGGAAAATTGAGGTCAAGGTGTTCGGGCCCTTACACTATTATGAAGGTGCTACCATATGGGGCTATTAAAAGGGAACCTTCACAGTCAATGAACAAAGGCTGAAACATTATTGGAGTGGAGAATTTTCCAAGGAAAAGTCCACAGTTGTTCACCTCAGGACACCAGAATGAAGTAGACACAGGAGAGTCGAGGTATCGACTATAAATTAGCGCTGGATGGGAGGCAACTCGTCATATCCACCCTTTATTTATTTCGTTTTTGCGTTAGTTTAGGAAATTTTTCATTTTTTATATTCAGTAGTTTTAGGCCATCATTCATCCACATAGGTCACAAGGAGTCAAAGCATTGCCCACATGAGTCCAAATACATTGGGCACAAGTCATAAATGTCAAAATCATGTTTTGGTGGTTGGATGTGATTTTCAGGTATTTCGAGGCATAAATTGGGTATGGAACTAAGTTCATGGCCTACACACACATCATATGGTTTAAAAATATGTTTGGCAAGTTTATTGGGCAGTGGAAGGCCCCGAGTCATAAGTCGAAACCCTATATTCTCAAGTAAATTTCAATCATGGTTGAGTCTTTGGAAAAACCGAGTGTGTTTCATAATTTGTTCAACATGCATTCCCTTATTTTCACTCAATGTCATATGTGGCATAAATATCGAAAAAAATTGTCAGACATTTGTCTGCACAATCACATAGACATACTGTCCATGTGACTGCATGGACAACAACAGAGAAAACATGGAGGCCAAACTATTGTTCCATGCAGCCACATGGAAAGACTAGTTACAGCTTTTTAGCCTGTAACTTAGTCATTACACCCACCCCTCCAACACATAACACAAGACACACATCTTCTCCCACAAATTCAAAACACACGGCACACACCCATAACCCAAATGGAGGCACACAACCAGGTTCTGACCCCTCCAGAATCCATCCTCATCCGATTCACAATGATTGCATTCTAATTGCACTCCAAAAATCTAGATTGCAAAGTCTTCTCAACCTCAATTTTGAAATTAGGGAATTTTTTTTCTCTTTGGTTGTTTGATGGAGTATGGGATTTGTTGTTGTGAATGTTGATGTTTTGTGTAGAATGGGTGTGAAATTTAGATTTATGCATTACAATTTATAGAAAGATGGCAAGCCTCAGTGAATTGTTTTGTGCAATTTTGTGAATTTTGTAGTTGAGGTAATTGATGTTGACATTGAATTGCGTGTTGTGATGAAATCTCATGGCAATAGATATGGAAAACACCGAACACCCTAATTGAACACAAGTAGGCACAACAATGGCTATATCACTTCACCTAATTTACCATGCAATTTAACAATCCAAATGACCTGAAAATTGAGTAGCTGTTAGAGTAACATAAACATTTTCATATGTCCGGAGATTGCTTGGGAAAATTTTGATGTTTCTCGACGGTGCCCGAGGGTGAAAGTCCCAAGTCAATCACGGGTCCAATTGAACAAAGTGCATGTTTTGAGCTAAGTTTAAATCACATTTTTGCAATATTAACCTTATTTTGGGACATTTTTCTTTAATTGTGCACACCAACACTGTACACATGCACCTTGAAGCAAGTTTGGGTGATTTGTGCTTGACAAATATTCTTTCATGCTTCATTCTTTATCCATTCACACTATAAGGTCTAATATACATAATTTGCACTCTTGCAGGATGCTGCCTAAAATGAACGTCAAAAGGAAAGGAGAAAGTTGGGTCCACATCAGGTACTGTACGGACTAGAGAGCCCGAAGGTGGCTTTAGGAGATTTCTAACTCCGAACACTACAGCCCATTACTCAAACATAATCACATTGGGAATTACTTCCAAAGAGGCTGGTTAAATTGGAAGATTTCCCCGGGTTCGAACTAGTTATATTGGTCCATAATTGTGGATGGGGAAAGTAGTAGAGCGACCACATCAAATGTATGAAGGCTTAGCTAGGGAATTCTACGCCACGTCAACACTAACATAGACACCAAGGCTTAGAAAATATACATAAGACATGCGTAAGGGAAAAGTAGATTATGTTCTCTCCTGAAGTCATTCATGATTACTACCATCTGTTCTGAAACAACATCGTCCCAATCCCAAGTGACTTCCATTGGACTAAAGTGGCCGAAATCTTAGACGGGAAAATGCATGGCCCCTCCAAACTACTGAATGGTACTAGATTGAGCTCATCCCATCTATGGCTATTTATGTGACATAATATCTAGCCCACCTCACACAGGATGACCTTTACTAATCCAAAAGATGGGTCATCTATCAT